CCCCCGGAGCGGCAGCCTGCGGGCTGTTTTTCTGGGACGCCTTTTTCAGTGGCTGGACCACTTTGTTCTCCTGCAGCGGCGCGGGGCCTCTCCCAGGGCTCTCTTTCGGAGAGGCAGCTGGGATGTGACCGCTTTCCTTAGGGGGCTCCCCTGTCCCAGCGGGGGGACACCTCGCATGGTCCTGGGCGGCTGGCTTGGCATTTTTGAGCAGATGCTTTCCTTGAAGTTCAGTGGCAGTGCCTGGGGAGCAGCCCTCGGGCGGGGTCAGCCTCTTGCTTTCTAGTGGTTCTGGCTTTGATTCTTTTGACCACTGTTTCAGCGGGGAGAATGTCCCACTGTCCAAAGGGGGGATCCCGCCGGAGGGCAAAGGCACCTGTTTAGAATTCTTAAGGTTCCCACTGTTGACTTGTGAGACACCCCCAGTCACTCTGATACAAATGCTCCCATTCCTCAGAAGGCCCTTTGTCGGGTCAGCGTTCACACTGGTTCTTGGTTTGTTGGTCCTTACGGGGTGTGTTTTTTTCTGGACCAGGCTCAGAATGTAACCATCCATTTTCTTACTGGATGAAGGAGGAGGAGCAGCCCACATACTGCTTGGAGATGGTAAGGAAGTGTCTGTCTTGACGGCATCCAGCTCGGATCCGACACCAATGTCATTGGCATGGTTATCCAGCCTCTCCTCTTCCCTCAGGGGGTTGCCAGTCAAACAAAGGAGAAACATTGGGCTCTGCACGGCCACGGCATGAAGTGGACTGGGGTAGCGATACACATCATTCCCGTTTTTAGACACCAGATCACACTGGTACTTGGGATTCACATCTGCAATGACACCAAGGGAATTAGATTGTGATGTGGATGGGGGAAGGCAAAGTGCCCCTGAGGCCAGGTCTTCACAGTGGCCTTCTTTATATTCGAACCATCCTATGAGATCTGAAGAAATGAACTGGCCAGCACCAGCCTGACTCTGGCCAATTTCTATGAAGACAAATTCATGGGTAGAGAGAGAATGCCAAAGAATCAACAAATACTCCACAAGTTACTCTGCTATTTCACATACACTTCTTACTACTGGATGAGGGGAAAAAATAATTAGCAAAGGATTTTTAACAAGATATGACAACGCTAAAGGAACAATATTCAGCCATTAAAAACACTTTCAAACTACTGGATAATATGGGGAAAACACTTAAAGTTGAGTGAAAAACCATAATGCCATACCAGACTACTGATTATCATTTTATTAAGACTGGGTATATTCAAAGAAAAAAGTCTAAAATTAAGCATATCAAGATGCTAATAGTAGCTTCTCTGTGTGGTTGGAAAGCAAGTGATGTTTATTTTCTATTTTCTAAATTTTTAATAAATATGTACTGCATTTATAACTAGAAAAATAAATGATTTTTGAGTCATTCTTTCTCTAGGCCTCTCTCTCTTCTGTGTTCTATTCCTGGTTTCTCTTTAAAATACTTCAGATGAACTATCTATGGCCTTTCTCCTGATTTATATCTTTTCCAGACCTAATTCTTAATGACATGTATTTGACCTGTCAATTGAAAGGTCAGGGAAACTCATCATATTTCAATAGAGACTAATCAAATTGAAATAATAAGCACCTTATACTTTCAAGAGTGGTGCTACAAAATAAAGCACAATATTTTAGGAAGGAATTCTTGATGAGGTTTTTAAAAGATTGAGCAGTAGGACTAATGAATAAATTTCCCACATCTCAAAAATGTACATGCCAAAATACAATGAATCAAGCTTTCTTGCTTAATTAAATGATTTTGATCTCTTATCTTGGTGATTATTATAAATATCAAGTCCTGGTAATGACTTTTAATTAGAGAAAAATCACAGTTTTTAATCGCTAATTTGTTTTCCATTATAATTATATTTATTCACTCAAATATCGAAAACCCACTATGTGCTAGATTCTCTGTTAATTGTTTAAGAGAAAGCTCCATGAATTTCAATGGTAATTAGCTGCTGGGGGGGAAGGAGGGGGCAGGGAATAGTCTAGACTCAGAAATGATATGATTCATTTATAAACAAAAGACTACTATAAAATAAAAGTGCCATGTCCCCAAATCCACCTCCACTCCCAATAAATGGTTTGTTTTAAGAAGGGAAAAACCTCTCTAATATCTTTGCCCATCCCTACTTTATTATCCCAAGGCCTATCCTTGCCTTACTTAAAGCCACATTTGCCTATCCATCACCTTTCATCCCTTTTTTCCTCCTAAGAATTAAGGAACAAGACAGACATCCCAGACCCCGAGGGCCAGCACAACTGTCTCATTTATGTGAAGATGTGGCCTTTGGGATAGCAGGGGTCTGCCTTTAAGGAAAACCTATACCTTAAGTATTAAGTATTAAAGTACCTTTAATGGGTTTATAAAATTTCCCTCTGAAACCAGATCTGCAGACTGAAAGGGAGCAATTACCAATGAACTTGAAGACCATACACTCTCGATAACATAGATTTGAGCTTCCCCGAATGATCGCTGCTAACAACACACACTGTACAAATACAAAGACACCAGCCAATTAGCAACCTCAGTGGTTTGGTGTTACGTTTGCACTTCCCGGACCTCAGAAATTCAGCCTGATACCCAAGACGAAAACACACACAGACCAAGGTGCAATGACTGGCACCAGAGCCTACAGTTCCTCTCATCCCTGAATTTTCTCTGCTCTTCTGAGGAATCACTCTAAAGCAGGACTCAGGAAGGTGTCCCAAATTTCGGCAACAACTCTGCCATTCAGCAAATGAGGAGCCTCTGACAGAGGGCGTATAAAACCAAATTCCTTCTCTGTTCGACGAGAAGGTTGGACACAGCAATTTCTGAGTTCCCTTGGTGTGGTGGAAAAAAACACAGACCTGACAGTCTGGAGCTTGAATTGTGCCTCTGCCACTCATTCGCTATATAGCTTTAAACAACTTGCCTAACCTAACCTTACTAGGCCTAATTCTTCTGGTACATGAAATGGAGATACCAACACTTACACCCTGCAGAACTGTTCGGAAAATTCACAGCACGTAAATGTACGCAGAAACTCTTTCAGGACCAAAAACATGATTCTCTCTAGAGGTCACTGCACAAGTAGCCTCAAATGGGGAACACGGCCTAGGGGATCTCACCCCATCCACTTGCTAAAAGAAGAGAGAGCAGGCACTCTGGAGAACACCAAGGGACCACTGCTCCTAGAAGTGCCAAGCAGCTCTTGGCCAGGCTGACAGATAAACTGAACTTAATGTAAACTTTGGCTCTAAACGATTAAAGAAAGGAGAAACAGATCCAAACTGATTTTCAAAAGAAAATGCAAACAAGTTAACAGCAAAGGCTCAGAAACAGAGCTCAAGACCCATAATATTGAAACAGGCTTTCTAAAGATAAGCTGTTTCTACCATCAGAATATAAAGCTAGGTGATACCCAAAGAGGACAGGAATTGTGGTGATATTGATTCTAAATGGAACTATGGCACTAAATGCAAGAAGCTGATGAAATTCTCTGAGCCTTTGTTTTTCATCAGTAGAAGGGGTTGAAGCTAGATAGCCTTTAAGGATCTTTGACCCTTTCCAATTAAAAATGTCTATCAGTTCTAGAAAAGTCTTACCTGCAGATTTGGGGCAACCATCTGAGATAGTCAAGGTTGCCTCCAAGGGGCTGCAAAAGCAGGTGCTGGAATGACAACTGGATAAACACTCACTGAAGACCGAATTAGAGGAATTGGAAAGGGATCCCGAAGCCCCATCACTCAGCTCATAAAACCCTGCAAATAAAAACACCGTTTGGGATTAAAATCATGTCAAGCAGCAATACGCATTCATGCTTAAAAGGAAAAGGCGTAATCATGTAGGGAAGGCAGGAAAGGGAGAGGGGCCAATGTTGGTTCACCAGATTTCGTGTCCTGATTTTATGATTTTTGTTTCCAGCAATCCTTAGAAAAAGGCAAAAGCCCATAACTAGGGGTACATTTCAAAATTATTCTCATTGTCAAATTGACTTTCCTCCTTGACCCCACCTTAAAAGATGTACAAGGAAAGAGACTTGGATCTGTCAAAGCTTCCACTTTTTAATGAACGTTTCAGAAAGAATAATTTGAAGAGAAAAACAAATCTTTGTAAGGAGCCAAATGGTTTAAAAAGAAAAAAAAAAAACTTTTGAAGTGGCCTCAGGAAGTTGAAGTGTGACTAATTTTCTAGCCCAGTTCTGACTTTCTCAAGTTTCAAAGGAGGACCACTCGCTCTTCCAGAAATCTGAATAGAAGCTTTTATTTGTAAACTCGGGAGACTCCAGTCAGATCAATCTCATTATTAAAAATTCTGCTATCTGGTTGTGTTTGCCTCTCTTGCACGGAATGGCAGACTGTTTTCTAAATCCTCTCTGCACTGGAAACAAACTCGCTTGCCATTTGCAGGTCTCATAAGGTTAAGCCCGGGGGGCGGGGGTTGGGGGGGCCAAGGTAGAACTCATGAGTGCAGGACGCTTCCCTGTGCTCTGACGCACCTGAGCTAGGTCGGCTGTCTGTCTCCAGATGCTCCTCAGATGTCTTCTCTACATCCAGTCTCAGGTCACTGATCTGCTTGTCGAGTTCTTGCAACTGGTTCAATAAACCAGCATCTCTTCTCCTCAAACAATTCTGATTAGGAAGAAAAGGAGAAAGGAAGAAGAAACACATTTTGGTGACAAAGAACCAGAAAGTCCACTCTAAGTTTTCAAACTACCACCTGAAGAGTTCACTAAATCTTCCAAAACCAAGATTTTACCAGATGACCTGAAATAAAGAAAAATGTCAAGACTATGTCCTCTGTTGAATTCCACTTTCTCACATTTTGTGGTGATCAAAGTCCCTTCATAAAAAAACAAGACTTGCTTTTAGGTTCAACTAATATACATACAAACTTATTTTTCACAGGTAGGGATAAGAAAAAGCCACTGAGATTTTTTTAAATCCTCTGTATACAGCCAATTTTTTGTTTTTTACAAAACAGTACTTCACAGTAGACTCTTTAATTTGAAGTCAGACTGTAACTGATTTCCTACAATACACTATAATCTTACTTAGGTGAGATTTTCTGGCCAAATGTCCTGTGGAGTTTTGTTTTCTATTAGTTGCTTTGTGGGGCTTAATCAGTCGTAGGGCCTTTGAAAGTGAGAAACTAATACTAATAGCCAGTGCCAAATATAATGTGAGCTGGCAGAATCTAAAACTCTCCAGGGAAGGTCCATCAAGATTTGAACTCAACTTGGGTTTCCAAAGGTGACAGACCGCAGTGCTAACTCACACCGCCACCTAGTGCTTCCTATTGCTGGAAAAGCAAAAGAACTCAAGAGGCATCTGGTTCAAATCACAAATGCCAAGTCGACAAATGAAAATAGTACCACAAACACGGACTGGACGGGAATTCTCCTAACATGCTGCCTTGCTCCCCTCCAGGGGACAAGAAGAATGTGCCACTCACAATCATGAGATTCATGAAGACAAGAAGGTGCCATTGTACAAGACAATGCACACAATGTCAATGATGGGACATAGCCAGCAAGAATTGGCTCAAATCAGTGTTATATACAACTCTGGTCTGCTACCAAAAAACATAGCAAAATGCCAAGACAGAGGTATTACACAAACCACCACATACATACACCCTTACAAAATAGATGCATATGAATATCTACTCCTGTCTGTCCTTTGACTTAAAAAGCTTGGAGACATAACATGCTTGTTTGCTACAATGAGTTCCTTCAGGGAAAATAGACCAAAAAGTAAAATCAAATTGATGCTCAAAAAAAGAGACAACTTATCTGAAAAGAGATAATATAAGAAAACACTTGACAAATAACCACATAGCATCACTTTGTTAGTAATTGTAGGAGGGATATTATCTGGCATGTGTCTAGTTTCAGATAGTATCACATGGTCAGATAAGGATTTTTTTTTTTTCTGTTCTCAAAACTACATTTTTGAGGTCACCGAAACAAAGCTGCCGCCATTACTCTGAGGCGGGGTCAAAAGCTGTTCAAAACATTAAACGCCGAAGTTCTTTTTCCTCCCCATTAACGAATACTGCAGAGAATGTCTAAGACACTGACACCAATCCAGTAAGATAAATGTTCCCTGAGAGCAGGTTTTCTCGTCTCTCACCTCCACCTCAAGTCACAGCAAGCAGAACATACAAAATACGAGGGGAACGGGCACTTTCTCCAGCCAAATTTCCATGTTTTAGCCGCCTTATACAAAGGGCTTCTATCTGAAATTAAGCAGCAGCCCAGGCAAAAGCTGGCAGGCTGGGGAGAGCCCTGGGAGGGGCAGGGCTCCCTGCGGGCGCGTCTGTGTAACCGTAAAATTCGGCACCGGACAGTTAACCACGCCACAAAGCCCCCTCCTCGGCTTTTGTCCCCTCTCGGCGGGAGGACATGAAGCCAAGAAGCCCTCCAAATAAGTGCTGTTTGAAATGAGGGTTTGCAAACCCGCGGGGAGAGGGCATGCATTCGTCTAACTAGAGAGACTGAAGGTTATAACCTGGCGACTCCAGGAATCCCGAAGGCAGAGCGGGAGGTGACAGCGGCCACTCCCGCCCCGCCGTCCGCGCGGGGTCGCCAGCCCCTCACCTGACACAAAGCGGGCACACGCCGGGGTCGCGTGGGCGTCAGCAGCCCACGCGCCGCGGGCACCCGCAGGAACCCGGGTCAGAGAGGCACCGGGCGGGGGTCCCGGGAAGCCAGGGGAATTCCCCAGCCGGAGGCACCCCGGCGCCTACCTCAGGCCACCTGCCCGACCCCTGGCTCCTCTGCAGGGACAGCCGTGACCCACCTCTGGGCACGACCTACCAATTGCTTCCGTAGCAGCAAGATGTTCTCCTCCAAGAACTTCTCC